GGCATGCTGCAGGTGGATGACTTTACTTATGAAATCAAACCACTAGAGGCTTCTTCCAAATTTGAGCATGTAGTTTCTCGGCTTGTATCACAATATATATCAGAGGAAGATGAAAGGTGTGACTCTCCAGAGGACAATGCAAATCAAATACTTGAAGAAGTAAAGCTCGCTGAAAGTCCAAGGGCAGTCCCTGTCTATTTGTGGCGGATACATAGAAAACAGGCAAATCTTCACTACACGATAAGTAACTCACTCTGGCTTTTGGAGAAAAATCAAACTCGAATTGTAGAGAGTATATTCATTATAAACAGCATAATACACAGCATTTATAGACCAATGGGCTTAAATATGCTCATACGAGTTTTGTGCATATGGAATGTGGAGGATCAAGTGTCATTAAAAGCAAGGCATGCTTCAGTAGCGGTATATCGGTTTGGTTTATTCAAACAACATGTATGGTTTAAGAGGATTCCTCATTCTACTTCAGTGCTTCTTACAGGACATAAAATAGGACCAGGCACTTATTATTCTAACACTGGGGGTATGTGCAACCCCAACTGGGGAGCATCGTATCTATATCTGTCAAGGTATCACTTATTTCTGGGTTCAACAATAATAGCACATGCATTAGGTCACAACCTAGCAATGCCTCATGACTACGACGGTTGTGTCTGTTTTCGAAGAACCTATTGTCTTATGGCTGACGTGGCTGGTCTTTATGACATACCCAGCAATTGTTCTTTTGAAATACTACACAGTAAGCTTCATAATTGGGATCCTTGCTTGAGTGACATTTATCCTCCATACGATAATTTTCCTTATGTAGTTCCTCGTTGTGGAGACAAGATAAGAAATAACCAAGAGGAGTGTGACTGTGGGTCTCTTAAAGAATGTGCCTTGAGTAAGTGTTGTGAAACCACCTGTCTTTTAACTGTTGGCGGTTTGTGTGATGAGGGCGTTTGCTGCCACAATTGTAAATATGCTCCTCTTGGAACTGTATGCAGAGACCCGCTTGGTATTTGTGATCTGCCAGAATACTGTGATGGGAAAGGGGAAAGATGCCCCGAAGACTTCTATATTCAAGATGGAACCCCATGTTCACCAGTAGCTGTTTGTATGAGAGGAAATTGCAGTGACCGGGATTTGCAGTGTCAAGCTCTGTTTGGACACAAAGTAACAGATGCCCCGAAAGCCTGCTATGAGAAACTGAACATAATAGGTGACCGATTCGGAAACTGTGGACTTAGGAAACTGCGACAGGGAAGTGCACCTAGTAAATGTGAAGCTGATGATGTTCTTTGTGGAATATTGCACTGTAACAGTCCTAAAGCAGTTCCAGGGGGAGGTGA